CGGCGACCTGTTCTAGTTGCTTTACAGAATTTTAGTGAGTCGGAAAATGCAGATCCTAAAGGCATCCCAAAACGAGCGGGGTATACCAGCTATGTACGAGGTGTGGAGAGGCGACAAAGATAACTAAACGAACCACTGGTCGACTCGGCAAAGCCAAAAGCAAGGGCATGGTTCTGTCAGTGATGGTGTTGGCTGAGGAAGAGGCGACTCCAAGCCAAAGAAACGTTGTAGTGCTGGACTTCCAGCTGTGAGGTGCGGGTGATGGCAGGTGGTTGTTGTCGATATTCCATTTTAGGACACCCGATCGATGTCGGGCGCCGTCAGGCGATGGATCGATTCGTCGACACCTCTTGCATTGCATGATCTCGGGCGATGACGATGCGGGCCCCAAAAAATAAGTTTCGGCATGCGCGACGTCGGGTTCGCAGCTGTTCGGTTCCTGCAACTTGGCTGGCTAGGTAGGTACCCGGGGTGCACGCCGATTCTAACTATCCAATGATGGGAATCCAGTGAATGCAAACCCCATGATGCAAATACCATGACTCTGGCACGAACGCATGCGGGTTTCGGCGGTTTCGGCCGCTGCAGCCGCTGCAGCCACTGCCGTCGCGGTCTCAACCAACGTTCAGCGCTTGCAGGTTGTGGCTGGATGCTCGATGCCCCGTGCACGCGGAGATTCGAAATTTGGAAGGATGGCATTTCAGACCGTGCCCAGTTCCAAAACGGGCACAAACTACCGATTTTCGGCAGTCAGTGCTGGCTTTCAGCTGGCCAAGGTGGTGGGTTTTGTCCAGAACCTAAATTTTTCAGCTTGCGAGTTCCAAGCCCCAGCACCCGATTGGCTTAGTGCGATGCCCAGTCAGAAGCAGCGGCCCAAATTCAGAACCACGAAGCCACCAGGAGGATGCGAGTGGGCCGTGCTTTCGGTGAATTAACCTGCAGATAATCTGGCTCAGTCCGGCTTTCTGTGCGTTGCGGGTTAGGGTCATCGCACAGGCTCGGGCCTGGTTTTGCGCCCGGTTTCCTTGGTTCTTGCCATTTTTGCGTCTTCCTCAGCTGGTTGTGCTCGGCAACAAGCAACAAGTCCCCACCTTCTTCCAGGCCCCGCAGGTGACGGTGCCTGATCCCATGCCGCCAAGCGACGCCATCCATCCCACTGCAGAAATAAGACTAACCGGTTGTAGGAAGCTCGGTGATGGGCAGTGTTTCGATCCCCCGTCGCCCCGTTGCCCCGTCGCGGCTGTCATTTGTGAGCATCTTTTTTGGCATATTTTCGCAGCACAACGCCACATGGTGCAACCGTCATCCAGCTCATTCATGGGTCCATGGGTGCAGTACTTAAATTCTAGACACACGACGAGTGGGGACATACAAAGACAACCATGGCCCGAAACGCCTTTCATCTTCCCAGAATTCAGCTCGTCTGTCCTCTTTGGTGGCTCCAAGCTCGCCACTCTAATAGAATAGCCCCGGACAGTGGCAGGCACTACCGTGACACGGCCAGAGACCAGAGCTGACACGGGACCTATCCATGCATCCTAGTCTGATCCAAACGGTCGGGTCTTGGGAAACATAAATCTCCATGTCCATGTCCATGTCCCATGACCATTTCGCTCACCATGGCCCCGATCATCAACATCAAAATCAACATCAACCTCAGCCCCCTCAACCTCAGACTGCCATCTCACTCGCAGAGTCCGTCCACTGTTTTCGAACCACCGATCGACCGAGGTCTTCGACTATCCGAGCCAAGTTCACCACTAAGGAGAGAGAAAGAGTGTTGGGGGTTAGACGCCAAGGTGCATGTCTGAGGTGTCGCATGCTCAAGATCCAGGTTTGTTCCTTTACTAGTGCCTCCCTACCCACCCACTCACTTGGGCTGGGTACCCAAGCTAAGCCGTTCCGGGCATTTACTGATCACACGACTATAATCTAGTTCTCCCTTGAGAACCAGTGTCAAACCTGCCTGCAGTCTGCTATCAGGGGATCTGAGAGAAAGGTCGTCTCGTTTTGATACTGCGTACGGACTCGGTTCTTAGACGTCTACATCTTTGACCCGGCGTCCTTCCGAGCCGGCGCCGCCGCAACCATGCAGACAACATCACAGATGCTAGCCATGAGCAAGCTGCTCGGCCGCATCGCCAAGCCTGCCAACTTCACCCTCACATCCAACCCCATAGCCTTCAACAACACCATGGTATCGTGGCTCACTGACCCCGACTTTCACCTCCCCAACGGCAGCATTGTCGGCCTGTGTTGCTCCAGCCTTCTAGGCCTGCAGTTTCCAGAGGACGCGGCCGCCGGCACCGACGGCCTGCTCACCGACTTCCGCCGCTTCCTGCTCGCCACGTCTCTCACCCATGCCCGCTGGCGTGACAGTAGCCTCAAGGTCGTCCAGGCCCGCGACATCTGCGCTGCGGGTCAGGTGTCAGGATACCGCCTCCTCAGACGCCTCGATCGCATTCTCACCCCGCAGTTTCTATCTCGCATCGGCCGTGACTCCTGTCAAGTATTATTCCTCCTCGTGCTGGGTGCTGTCCTGGGGGTGGGCTATTCAGGCTCGCAGTTAGAGGACCACTCGCCTCAGTTTCCCTCAGCCGAGATGCTCAGTCCCGAGTTCCAGCGCAGCCCGACATTATGGTTGGCCATGAAGGAGCACTTGTGTCAGATGCTGGCGCACCATTTGATTTTCGTCGGGTCTATGCTCGGGATCAAGTTGGGAAACCGCGGTGGAACGGCGGATTATCGACACCGCCGTGAGCCGGTGGAACAAGGCCGAGGAGTTTGTTTGGGCGGATGGTGTGGGCTATAAGATGGAAGAGATGGGCTCGCCATCGCCGCCGCCACTACTAGTCCCGATCCCGATTTCAGAGGTTAGGCAGTTCCAGCCTCAGCCCATGGAGGCCTGGTCGGAAAACCCAACGTCATACCTTTCCATGTTTGACGAGTCGGTAGCCCCCCCGCCCCCACCCGCGCCCCTACCCGGACCCCTACCCGGACCGAGCGAGCCACGGAGCGCCACGCCAGTGACAGCATCACCGCCACCAAGACCGGCATCCGAGCCATTGGCCCGACAGCACAGTAAGTTACTGGCAGTCCCTATCCCAGCTTTGGGAAGAGTGAATCACTAACTAGTCATCAGCCTCGGAGTCGATGCGGCGATCGGAGAAGAAACGGAGGTCGATGTGGATTGTCCGGCCTTTTGACGCCGGCCCTGACCGTGGCTTGGTCAATGTGCATGCACGCCTACAAGGGTGCGGGGGCCTGGAGAGCCTACGAGCTTTTGTATGATGCCGACTCAACTCGGACGATGATGATGATGATGATGATGATATGACAAGCCTGTACACGAAATCAGCGCCGCCGAGAGGGCGGAGCAGACTCTTCCTTTTCATGAATAATGGCTTTCGGAGGATAGAAAACCACCATAAAGTTCTTAAGGCTTTGTAATTAAGGGAGTGGCGATCACAAGAACTTTTTGGGTCATGTTAGCTCTCATCAATGCTTACCTTGACTCCAACGACCAAACCTCTCTGGTCCTTGTCAACCACTCACAGAAGGGCTTTCCTTCGAATTCTCAACTTGTTAGCCATGACCTGAAATTACCCGGATGGGCATGATGTTCAGGTGGTAGAGAGATCCTTGGCATCCCTGGAGCAGAGCAATATGTGTGATTTAGCCGTTCTGGGTCAGCTATTAACATGAACTCTATTATGAATGGATCGACAATCACTGTCAATCAAGGCAATGAGCCGCGGCAAGTGTTCTGTTCCGAACTCCGAGGGGGCCAGCAAGAGGATTGATTGTAGCACAAACGCATGGCGAACACGCCTAAAAGTTATATTCATGCATAATAGAATAGGTAATACAGCGGAGATTATCGAGTGCTCTGCATTCTACCCTAGAAGGCTCGGGAGGCTCCGTCCCGATACTTCCCAAGTATCCGGGTGGCAGCCATGTATCTGGGGCATATCCCTGAGCCGTGATCATCTCCCGAAGGGCTGCTCCTCATGTGCCATAAACGCAGGGACGGCCTTCATCTTCCAATTCTGGCCTTGGTTGCTACTTAACGCGCAAGATTCGTAGGGGCGAAACGACCGATTAATAGTAGGAGGAAAGGGATTGGTATAAAGGCGGCAATTCCCACTGGGTCTGGCCCCTTGTCGAGGAGAGTCAGTCTGAGATCATTTTCATTTACCTCCATTTTGTATACCTAGTTGCGCTATAACAAGACTTATAGCGAACAATGAAGATTTCACTCTTGCTCTCTGTGGCCGCGGCCACGGTCGCGCTAGCAGGGCCTAATTGCCCTCCCCTGGGCCCAGTCTACGAGAAGCCGTACAACTTCAAGACGAGTTCCGCGATACAGGCCGCCATCGCCAACCTCACAGCCACATTCACGGCCTGGGACCAAAACAACTCGACTGCCATCCGCTCCAACACGACGAGCTACAGCATTGAAGTGTTTAGTACGAACAAGGAGAACCCAACAATCTTCAGCTGGCACCACACGGCGGCTTCCCTCGCAGCGGCCACCAACACATCCGGGGTCAAAAAAGCCGGCCCTGACGCCGTATATCGCCTGGGCAGCCTCACCAAGGTCTTTACCGTTTACGCATGGCTGGTGCAGGACGGTGATGTGAAGTGGAACGAGCCGATTACCAAGTACATCCCGGAGCTGGCTGCCGCTGCGGATAAGGCAAAGGAAGATCCTGTGGCGAACGTACCATGGGACGAGGTGACCATCGGCTCGCTGGCAGGGCAGCTATCCGGGGCCATTCGAGACTGTGAGTCCGCAAGATGAAGGGCTTCCCGAGAAAGGAACTAATAGTGCTGAGATGGCCTAATGAGCGAGGTCACGCAAGAATTCAACCAGAGTGACGCGGTGGGTTTGGGATTTCCACCCCTGGAGAACTCAGACCCCATGCTCCCGAAATGCGGAGAGTGGCCGCAGTGCAACAGGACTGGTAAGCTAAGGAGTGTTTGCAAGATACGAGCCTACAAGAATACTAACAACGGGCTATTTAACAGAATTCTTCGCTGGCTTGCTTCGAGCGTACCCGTCATTCGCACCCTTTACCACCCCCGCATACACCAACACCGGCTATCAAATCCTGGCTTACGCGCTCGAGGCCATCAAGGGCAAGAGTTTCCAATCGATGGTGGAGGAGGGCGTGCTGCGTCCCCTCGGTCTCGACCATACCTACTACCGAGACCCGCCGGTCGAGGAGGGCATCATTCCCGGCGCCCAGAACAGATCCGGGTGGAATTATCAACTCGGGGATGAAAATCCGTAAGTCCACACTCCTCCCGCGACAACAATGGTTGACTGACCCCATTGCCGCACCCCAGCGCCGGAAACATGTACTCCTCGATATCCGACATCTCGACCCTCGGCCGCGCCATTCTGCGCTCGACCCTGCTTCCGCCCGTGCTCACGCGGCGGTGGCTGCGGCCGGCGACCATGTCCTCGGAGCTCGTGGCCGGGGTCGGCTACCCCTGGGGCGTGCGGCGGGTGGTGGTGCCCTACGCCAACGGCAAGCACGTGGTCGACGCCTTCAACAAGGCCGGCCAAATCGGCTACTACTCGTCGCTGTTGGTGCTGTTGCCGGACTACGACGTGGGCTTTGCCGTGCTGCACGCCGGCGAGAACATCCCGGGAAATAGCAACTTCAACGTGGCCGACATCCTGGGCGCGCAGCTGGTGCCCGCGCTGGAGGCGGCCGCCCGCGAGCAGGCCGAGGCCAAGTTCTCCGGGGAGTATGTGGATGATACGCGGAATACATCGCTGCGGCTGTCGACCCAGACGGATCGGCCCGGGTTGGGCGTCGAGAATTGGGTGAGCAACGGGACGGATATGAAGACGGTTGCGGTGGTGATGCAGGGCGGGTATTCGCCGGTGCAGCCGAGCGTGAGGATGTATCCTACCGGGCTGGAGACGGTGAGGGAGGACGGGAGCAAGAGGGTCGCGTTCAAGGCCGTGTTTGAGGATCTTAACCTGCCGGCGAGGACAAACAACATGTTTTCGACCGACTGTGGTACGTGGGTGTCGTTTACGGGGGTCGTGTATGGGACGCAGCCGCTGGATCAGTTTATTTTTGATGTGGGTGCGGATGGGAAGGTGGTGAGCATCGAGAGTTTGGCCCTGAGGTCTGTGATGAAGAAGACGTAATTCAGCATTAGCATGGATCAGATCACAGAGTCGAGGGAGATGCACCAAGATGGATTCACTCCCGTCGTCTCCGATAGTTCGCCTTCAAAAAGGGCTTATACTTGCTACCATCCTCTACCGGCCGCATCGGGTCATGGTAGATGGCCTCGGGGGACGAATGATCCTAACGATTGACGATGATCCTTGCTGGGCCGGGCAACCGCCCCTGGCGGTAGTGCCAGACCCCTTGGCTGTCTGGTACCGGGTGCTCGATGGGGGCGGGCGGCAGCGAATTGGGTGCGCAGCACGCCGGGCCGCTCAGCAATACGCCGAGAACGGCGACGGGGTGCAGCTATGAACCTTCGCGGCCCAGAATCAAGAGCTATTGATCGTCCATATTGTTAATGATGTAACTCAAGTACTTGGGTTATTGCTAATACTGTTATTGTTGTTGGTGGTGATGGTGGTGATGGTGGTGATGGTGGTGAGGTGCTGCTGCTGCTGCTGCTGCTGGAGTGGTGATGTCTCAAAGTAAAAAAACGGCAAGAGCGTGAACACTGAACGGGCAGTCTTTAAGCGGCTGCTAACCCAATATTTAACTAACCACCTGCCGTGAATCAAGCCCTGCCTCCCTTACGATCGCTTAGTAGTAGCAAGTGCGAGGGTGGGGCCAGGCAAGAGTAGGGCCGACCAAGCGTTGTAAACAAACTTCGATACGGAGATGTGTAATGGCAGTAATGTCTGGTTCGCATGCCCCTTGCTTGTTTAAGTACATGCCGGCCAAGCGGAGAACGAAACGAAAAACTAGGAAAAGGAAGTTCCGCCCTGTGGTCACCATAATGGTACTAACAATCCCAGACTTTCCCCCTTGCTCTTAGTTCCTAATTATTAGAACGGGGCGCTCAATCAACGAGGGGTCCTCAAGCGTAGCCTCATTGACTTGACTTTAACAAGACATGACGATATCCATGTTGATGGGATATTCCTTCAAGGCCACGTCGTTCTGAAGACGCATACGCATTTCCAAATCGCTATAAATATATGTTATTAGGTACAACGGCTGGGGCGATTCGAACCTTGGGACTTGGCTCAACTTACTACCTGACATGATGAAGTTATTATTTTCAAACACCTGGGGAAAATGATCGGAAACTTTGTGGGTCTGTTCAAGTCAAGGCATCATCATCATCCGAACATTTGGGGTCTAGAACGTTGTTACTAGATGTCACGAACTTGACGCTCCCTTGTCAGTATCCATCTTCTCCAATTTTCCTCCACCTCCGGCACAGCAGCCGTGACTCCAGCAATAATACCCTCGATAATGTCCGTTCCGCCCACCGAGGGAATACCTTAGTCCCCCCCCCCCCAGTTACATGTTCTTGGCTACCCAGTTGACTTGCGGTGACCGGTTGAAATCTGATTTAGATTCGGTCACGCTTTAAAAAGGATCCCTTTCTTGGATGTCCACGGTGATTGGTGATTGTTAGTGATTTTGATCTGTGCCAAATTTCGCCCGCTCCAAGCGCAGTCCCAAAATGTCAGCAGGGCCCAGAGCTTAATCAAGCCGTGGAAATAGCTAAATAGGAGATAGGCGGGAAAGAGAACGACGTCCTGGGGATGACGGCGGAAGTAGTCAAACACCTTGACGACCTTGGTAAAGAGAATCCAACCTACCAAGCCTCCCAGCACGACGGTGGAGGTGTATGCGGAGGACCGGGTGAAGAGGTAGACGAGCAGGCCATCCGTGACGGCAGCGAAATTGGTTAGCGACGTCAGATAGACGGCGTAGACGCAGTACGGTTGGGATGCCCATACGCTACGTTCCGTGATGAGACTGCAGAGGTTGGATCTCCAAGTTGTCCGCGCCCAACGCTTGCATTGGCCTAAGAACTTGATGTGCGCAGATGCGTCGACTCCGATTGTCGTGTGCATTACACAGTCTTCGGTGTACTGAATCTTGATCTTCCAACCGTGTCGGACGGCGAAGCGAGTGGTGAAGTTGTCATCGTCCGGGCTCAGGGGGCCGAGCATGTCGAAAAAGAATCTCTCATTGGTGTAGCGGGGAAGATATTCGTGGTGCCGCAGGATCTCAGTGCGTAGGGCGCAGCATCTGCCGGAAACAACGAACACTCCGCCGTCCACCGTGTTGGTGGCGCGAATCTCAAAGTTGTGTCGGCAAAGATAGGTGGCGCCGAGCATGTTCCAGATCCGGCCCCAGAGATTCAGACCTTCCTTGCGCTGGACGCGCTTGTTGGTGCCAACTAAACCCACAGATGGATCCTCAAAAGGATAGAGCAGAGATTTGAGATAGCGCGGCCCCAAGGTGACGTGATCGTCAAGCAAAACCGTGATGTCGGTCTCGATATGCGGCACAGCAAGGGCTATCTGGCCCCTTTTGCTGGGAACTTGTGCCGTTTCAACCACAAATTGTATGTATGGATACTCGGAACTGACTGCGTCGACACACGAAGAAGCCCCAACGAAGAGCTCATCGCCAGCAGTCGCCACAATGATTTTTGCTGGGTCATTGGCCGCGCAAGACCTGAGTGTGTTTTTGAAGGCTTCCAAATCCGTGGTAACAGTGGGGATCACTACCGTGACATCCTTGGATGGCGTGTAAGTGGGTTTGCTCGGCTTAGGTGCGGGTGAGTAACACCAGAATGCGGCCAGGTTGACAACAAACCGCAGGTACCGCCAGCAGAAGAGGGCGAGGAACCAGTAGAGGTAATAGTCCCCTCCGGCAAGCCGTGAAATTCCCTCGTAAAAACCTACAAGAATAGTGATTAACAGTGCCACGTTAAGAAGAGCCCTGACTGCGGTCACTGGGAGGTCAATGTTCTTCCTCTCCCTGCTGGTCCTTGGGTGAGATTGCGCCATGTTATGGTTATGTCCAGGCAGGGGACATTCCAGTCGGGCAGTCGAGGTTCCTGGGCCTGGAAACTAACTTCAAGCAGCATCTCCCGGGAACTATAAACCATTTCCACAAATAATTCGTTGATATTTCAAGTTGCTCTTCGTCCCCAAACTTTATGTAGAACATACCACTTGATCCACCGGGGCAAAGTACAAAGGGGTTGAAACACTGCGTCCGAAAATAAATCTATAAACAAGGACCTCGATTTCTGAACATCTGTACTATTACATGATTATCGATTCAATTACATGTGAATTTCCAAGGATGGGTTTCGTTTGGATGTGCGTTGACCACGGCCGCACATGGAAGGATAATGGGATATATTATTATTATTATTATTCATACTCCGCTATGCCCTAGGGCGTGCCGGACCCTCAGCTATTTAGTGTACAGGAAAACCGTGCCCTCCCGGGCCGGGTGAAAAACCCATACCAACAATCAAGGAACGATGCGTTCTGGTGAGTCTGCGTATACAAAGAGAGGAGGCCTCCTGGCCTCCGAACGGGGGCGCTTCAGGCCGCCGCTTCCAGCTCGAGCCTCCTGGCTAAGTTGTACATCGGCAGCTTCCCCGAGTCCATCAGCCAGTCGAGGACTCTCCTCGCGAGCCGTGCAGTCGTGGGATTGATGCCGTGTAGAACAGAGTAAAAGTCCCGTCGTGTCCGAATTCCAGTTCTCTCCCATCTTCGAGTCAACGGTGGGGCCAAACACCACACTACCAGGTGTTCGGCAGTCTCTCGTCCCTCGTCACACTCGCAGGCAGGAGTCAGAACCTCCGGGATAATGGGATATAGGAGTGTGGCATTCTACGATAATCATTCACGGTACACGTGTACTTCGTACAAGCTCCAGTCTTTATGTTAACCCAGCATGTGGAGTTCCCGGCTAGCGAGGCCACGGGTGGTAATTCACTGGCGCAGCATTCGAGCTCAAGATCAGAAGCTCCCGGCCAAAGGGCGGGATGAGATGATAGATATAGGTGTCCTCGTAGTTGTTGCTGAAGGGAGCAAGCGGTTGGGGGACGAAGCTAGAAATCATCAAGTTCCTTGGAGACAAGCAAACTTCGACATTAGGACGCCAATGGTAGCGAGATCTAACCTCTAAAGTATCTTGTTTTAAACCAGATTCCCATGACATAAGTTCGTGTATTAATAGACGCTGAAACACTTGACACCAACCCTCCAGTCCCGATTAGGACCCAAATATTACCCCTCACCTTATTGCATCCCGCCGTCTTTACCGTCCTCACCCCCATCAGCACATTTCGCCTCCATCTCCTCCCTCTTGAGCCTCTCGACCCTCGCCATCCGCCACTGGTCCCCATACACCCACACAAGCCACAACAGCGGCGTAAGCCCGATCGTCAGCCCGGCAAACGCGAGAAATGTAATCACCTCCCCAATCCCATCAATGATAAACTGCACCGCCGCCACCCCCGCCGCGCCCAGCGCACAGCGGATCAGGTTATTCACCGCCGTCGCGCTGGCGCTCGCCCCGGGGTACAAATCCACCATGAGCGCACTATTCTGGGTAAACAGCCCCGTGGCTGTGAAGGCAATGACGAACTGCAGCACCAGCGGCACAGCCATGCCCTCGACCGACTCCAGCAGGGGGCTGTCGACGGAGAACCCGTACCCTCCAACCGCCAGCACGAACAGCACTACCTGGTACCACGCCGAGCGCAGCCGCGCCCGCGAGACGGGGAAATCGCCCGTCTTCTTGCCGCCCACCTCGGCGTCGGCGGGGAGGCCCCGCACCGCGCGGTACTGCGCTTCCACGATGCTGTAGTCGCGGTCGAGAATCCGCCCCGTGATGCAGGACCCCGCGATGCAGCCCGCGCCGTTGGGCAGGAAGGCCAGGCCGACTTCGAGGTCGCTGAGGCCGTAGCGGGACTGGAAGAGCGCGGTGGTGGAGGAGGTTACCGTGCTCCAGATGGTGTAGACGACGGCGCCGAAGAGGAGCGTGCAGAAGACGTCCTTTTCGAAGAGGAAGCGGAGGGGGGAGAGGATGGAGCCGAGCGTGACGCGAGGGGGGTCTTCTTGTGACGCGTGCTCCGTGTGTGGTTTGTCCTCCCAGTACTGTTTCAGGGGTTGGTAGATGATGGGGCGGTTGAGTCCCTCGAGTGGCACACTCCCGTTGCCGGCGATGCGGCGAAGCGTTTCGGGAAGGAACAGGACGATGAGAATGAGAGCGATGGAGCCGAGGATGAAGAGAAGCCAGAAGATGGCGTGGAATCCGAAGAACTGCGTGACAATCCCACCGATGACAGGCCCAACGGCTTGGCCCAACATGCGGACTGGGGTAGTAGCGCGTGTTGTTAGCCAAAGATCACAACGAACCGTAAGGATGGACCAATTACTTACTGCCGCCGAAACTCCCCATGAACCCGCCGCGTTCTTTTGCCGTGGTGATATCGCCAATCACACCAGCACCTGCCACTGATCAGCCACCTGTTCACAACAGACTGGAAGCACACGATGAGACGTCTGACATACCAACCGAGATGGTAGCTGCACTTCCGGCGGCCTGAATGGCCCGGAACACCATCAACATTTCGAACTCATCGCTGAATACCAGAGCAATATTGGCGACCAGATAGACAACAAAAGTACCAATGAAAGTAATTCTCCGCCCTCGGGTGTCACTCAGCGGCCCCCAGAAAGATGGTGCCACGCCCTGGACCAGCATATACACAGTCACAGTGAGCGCGATCAAGGCAATGTCTGTCTCGGTGTCCTGCCGATGTTAGACTGGCAGCCAGGCCCGGGAGCTGGAACTGAAACTCACCTCGGCGATATCTCCTAGGGCGGGGAAGTAGATGTTGCTTGACAGTGGCGAGAATAGCCCTGCCAGGGAGACAATGTAGACCAGTTCCCATTTCTTTTGTGTCGTAAAGACATGGTAAGGCGGTTCTGAGGGACCATCCTGTTGTTTCTGATCTGTCGGTTGCCTCGGCTTTTCGTCATCAGACAGATCTGTCTCTGAGCTCTTCGCCGGCGCGTTGGTGATGTGGCTGTCCTTCCGAGAGAATATGGATGTAAACCTGTCAAGCTGTCGCTTCGCCGCGTGTCTCAAATCCCGAGCCGGGGGTTGTGATGCGTTATGGACGTCCTCCACCACCGTGCTCGACCTCGACGAGGAGGGTGTTGACAGATCAAAGACAGGTGTCAGCAGACCATGTTCCCCGACTTGGCTTTCACGATGCGGTTTTCCGTCTGAGTCGTCGTTACGGGTCGATCTTGTGTCGCAGCTCGGCAGCTGGGGAGATGTTGGCTGTGTCTCCATGACTATTGATCTTGGAAGCGCTTGGCTCTTGGCTTTTCGAAAAAGACATATCTGAATGGGAGGCTACGTTCCATATTTACGCAGCCAAGGACACTGGCCATTCTACATCCTAATCTCGAGTACTTGCCGCTCCCGGGAGCCCGACGTAGTAAGACATACCGAAACCTGACGCTTGCCCAGGGGTCTGGAGATACGCTTCATTATCCGTGAGCTGAGGCGTGGAGAGTTTTCGAGATAGTGATACGGGCAAGTGGAAAGAACATTCGGTCGGAGGTGGTGATCAACAGGAGTCTTAGTACTGATCAGCGGGAGATGTGTCGGCTTGCCCCGTGCCAAGAGAGGTCGGAGCCCGGCTTCCCGGAGCCTCCCGAGACGCCGTGCCGTCAGGAGATTGCGAGGTTCCTAAGCGCAAAAATTTGTTTCGTTGTTTCAGTTCACGTCAATGATGAGGCGGATACTGCTGGAGTGCCACGACATGATGATTGCCCTTGAGTGGATCAGGGGCCATGCCATGCTGGGAGTGAAATTCTGCGTTGCAAGGTCACTTTTCCTTCCCTTTCAAGAACAGTGTGATTGTGTCAATATAAATACACGCGTGAGAAAGGCGTGAGTTGATCCTCTCGGGGGGATTCATGGTAAGAGACAGTACTGGTCTCAGGCCGGTCACCCCATGGGCAGACAAAAGGCCAAACTCCAAGTACAGGTTTGGGCCAGAGGAAAAGGTAACGAGTGGCCCAGAAGCCTAAAACAAAGTCTTACTCAATTTCTTTTAGCTGATTTATTTGGCTCAGTCTCCCTTAGTTACCTCTTTTTTTTTTTTTGGTTTCTTTCTAGCTTCTTTTCTGGCTTTCTTCTAGCTTCTTTTCTAGCTTCTTTGATTTCTTTTCCAGTATCTTTTCCTAGCTTAATTTACAGTTTTTTTTCTACCTCTTTTCTTGATTTTCGAGTCTGGCTTTTTTTTTTTGGCAACAGGGTGCCGGTGAAAGTGATCCGGCGCCGGCTCCGGTCCCGGCAAGATGGACCCACTCGGCCACCGGGTCGGTAAAGTGGGTCAAAGCCAATGCAGTGCAAAGCGATGCTGGAGGAAGCGAAAAACCGGTGATTTATTGGCAATTCCTCCAGGTTTATAAATCCATACTTGCATCGCTGTGAGAGAGCTCACTTTTTGAGTTCGCTCTTGACTAATGTTTCTATGGTATCTCGATTACAAACGCCCATGCCGCCTGTTGCTTCCCGGTGTCTCGTTCCGGGAAAGTCCCTATGCCCAACGCCTGCTCCATGTCGGAGAAAATGAAAATGGTAGACCCCTAGATAAAAGAAGACCTGAATGTGGCCGACCGTACATACCGCATTCAAGCCTATTGTGACTTCGAGCGGATTTTTCGAAAGTATATCGCCGTTGTTCCAGGGGCGCGGGAATTGGTCTTCGGGTCATACCACGTCATGACGTCTAGAAGGACGAAAGCCTTGGGCGTCTCCAACTCAACGAGTCCCGAGACGCAGACGCATCCTCGAGGCGGATCTGCCCTGAATGGCCGTTGCTCCTTAGAGTAGGTTTGTTTTAGTTGTTTCCAAGGCTGGGATGTTGCAACAGAAAGCACCATTTCCTGGAGCCACGTCTTCTGAACGGGCGTGTCTTGGTTGTTCTGGCCGAGGGTCGGTTTTTCCGGCATAGGCATGGGTTTGTCCCGCGGCGTCGAAGAGGCGGCAGATGGTGCATTCGCCGAGGAAGACATGGACCCAGGGTCGTTTACCTCTTCGGGCCGTCTGGTAGATTGCTGGCGGATTTGCTGCAGCGCCTTCTGCATCTCGGGACCGGGGCCGGAAGGTAGAGGAGGGGGGGTCGCCGGGTTCGGCGGCTGGGCACGCCCGGGTTCCTCGGAACCAAAACCGAAATATTTTGCAACCTCAAAGGAGGTCTGCTTTACTGCCGCCGTGCCTAAAGCCCAGAAACCGAGCGCCATCGGCTTTGGCCATAAGACTCGCTGCATCTGTTTTGCGACCCATGAATCGTAGGGTACGGTTACCAATGACATCGCATCATCCGTAACCAATATGCTGACATCCATCCATGTTAGCATTACAGCCTTCGGTTACGAAACGGGAGCCAACATGACGTACCCAGTCCGCTCATAGACAGGCGGTGCCGCATAAGGGTAATCGATATCCATCCAGTATCTGGTGATCTTCGTAGCTTTCCCCAGTCTGGATGTGAATACGGCATTCCGCGAGGCAGAGTCAAGGACGAGTTGAGCTACGTGAGCTACACGGTGCGTTAGCAGTCGAACTGGGACGACGCAAGAAAGAGGGGTGACGTGCCTCTGATTTTTCTCTGCAGTTGACGGTCGTTGGCCAAGTTGACGAATGCCTGCCATTCCGGGCCCATTTTGGAATATGGTTGTGGAGGATGCATCTTCGTCGTCAAAGGAAGTGGAATAAAGGCCGGGTCATCGTCTTGATGCTTGGGCGTCTTGTCATCGTGAGGCGACGCGGCCGGCGTGACCCACAACATAATCAACTGGTAGGCAATGACACCTTTGATCACGGTTCCTCTGCATCGGGCAGCGGTCAGCGAAAGCAGAATGTGGAAGAGGAAGGATAAATTCCTACAAAAACCAAGTAGCTGGCCTTCCTTTTCTAATCTTGACCCTTTCTACACGGACCGTCTGCCCACTCGACAGACGAGCGGCTATCTTAGCGGAACCGAAGAGCGTCCGGAACGGACGGAGAAGGCGCGCCATAGCGGTCGGTTGTGGCGCGCCAACCCGGCGGCCAAGGGAAGGGGTTTAGAGGACTGGGTCGAGAAGCACTAGTGGGAATCGAAGAGCGAAGTGTTGATCGGGAGATTTCGGCGTGGTTAGGTTCTGGAGGAGCGGGGGACACTATGCTGAGATTACAGAGTCCGGGATAAATATGCGATCGTTATTAAATTTCGGCCAGTAGCGGTAAACCTGCCAGAGGTACTCGATCGGATGAGGGTTGGTGTTAAGCGTGAGGCGGCAGGGTTGTTCGAGAACGTGGATTCATCTGCCGCGGTTTGTCCTCGATTTGGACTCTTCTGTCTTTGGAGAGCCGACTCGGTGGTGGTTCGGTGGGTCCGGGAAGCGGGTGGGGTGGGCGCCCATGCACAGACCACCTTGAACCGCAGCTGCGCCGTTGCAAGGGTCGCAACCTGGAAAGCAACAGCAACAACCAACAATCAACTGGTGCACACGGGCCAACCAAGACTCGTCACCTATCCCGTCGTCTTGCAACCAACTATCGCCATATCTTCCATTTCCCCCGTTGTCGCCTCTTGTCACGCTTAGACGACCTCAGGATTCGGCTGTTAACCATGAGGCTCGTCGCCGGCCTAACAGCGGCCGCTCTCACCGGCCTCGCTGCCGCTGCAGGTCAGCAGGATGCAGAGGTCTACATGTTCCAGTCGCCATGGGAGGCTTCCACCGAGATACCGAGTATCCCCAAAGAAGTCGCCCGTCACATCTTTCTTCAGAGGGTAATTGCGGTCTAATCACTGTGCGCACTGTGTTCCAATGTTGATATCCATGAGTAGACATCCAGGCAACGATACGGCAGCGACCTGCGCGACATCCCCAGCTCCATCCACACCGAAGCCGCGATTGACCACCTTGCGAGGTTCGGCAAGAGCCCAGCGCCACTATTTACCCAGGCGGACAAGACCGATGCCTCTCAACTCGTCATCATTATTGAAGGTGCTGCGGCCGAACAATCTGTCCGGCTGAGGGAGACATTGGGACAGAATACCGCCTTCACCATCTCCGACCCCCCTTCCGCCGCCGCCAACAACCATTTGATGGCGCTATTCCGAAATATGGGGGTTGCCTCGTCGCATCAATGCGATTTATCGGCGGCGATCAACCCCTTTGATGGGGACTGTTGGACCGGCCCGTCCTCAGTGGTCAAGTACGACCTACGAGCTGTGAGCCCTCCCGTCTGGTTGTTCCTCAACAAGTTTGCTAACGTTCTCCAAAACAGTCTCCAAAGGCATTCGACTCGCTAGTTGACAACCTCCCCCGACTGGACAAGTTCGTGACCGCCGGCGACCTCAACGCCATGCTCGTGGTTCTGCCCGAATCTAGCCGCTCGTCCAAGCTCAGCCACTGGAGTGTCGCCGCTGCAGGAACAGGCTCCGACCTCCGCCGCCGGCGCGACGCTGAGATGGTCATCTCGGACCAAGACCACACCCAGCCCAAGACCACCGCCGCCCCCTCCAACGCGCCCGCGGCTCCCGGCGGCGGGTCCGGGTCCCACCGCACCAAGGCCATCCCGCAGTGCTTCCCGTCGCTCAAGAGCTGCACCACCGGGACCAACTCGTGCTCGGGCCACGGCGAGTGCGTCGACAAGTACGCCCGCGGCAACGCCAGCAGCTCCGACGAGACGGCGCCGGCGAGTTGCTTCGCGTGTCTGTGCAAGCCTTCGCTCGTCGACCGCGAAGGCGCGCAGACCAAGGGGCGCAAGACGATCCAGTGGGGCGGCAACATGTGCCAGAAGGAGGACGTCAGCGTGCAGTTCTGGATGCTTGCCGGCTTCACCATCACAATTGTGGGCGCCGTGTCGTTTGCAATTAGCATGCTGTTCAGTGTTGGCGAGGAGACGCTGCCTGGTGTCATTGGTGCTGGCGTCAGCAGGTCGAAGTAGTCATCAACGGGTTGAGGGTATGCTACACTGTCATTTATCTTGTCACTGGGTTTGTGGGTTTGTGGGTTCAGATATAGCCCCCTCGTGGAGGCGTGAGTGCTTGCTGGGAGGTTTCGGGGTGTACCCATAGTCATCGGCGTCGGCATGGCAGATACGGGTTGAATTCATCGTTCTAGACAGTCAAGACCACAATGTATTTGAATATGTTCCACATCTCCCGCGTTGGAGCTCCTGCCGACTTAACATTACAAACACTTAACGAGGAGACCTATCAAGCCATCTCGATATCATCCCGCCTTATCGGTGTCGCACCAAAACTCTCCAGACCCCGTTCCACTGGCAAGTCCCCTGCAATTCCCGGAGGGAATGGTCTCAAAGGCGACTGCGTCACCATCTGGGCGACGTCTCCCACATTCCCGCCGGCGCTGGCTACAACAGCCTGGTACTTGGCGCCAGCCTGGTTCAAAATCTTCTGGACCTCCTTCTCCCGCGCAAGGATTTCCTCCTTTTCCTTTTCGAGGTCCCCTATCCTCCTCTGCTTCTGTGTAACGTCGTTTTCTAGCCCCTGCACTATCTCCCGCATGCGCTGTAGTACCTCGTTCAACTTGGGCAGCGGTTTCATCCGCGGGATAGCATCCGGCCCACCGGCGCCGTCCATGTCGTGGTCGTCATCGGGCCGGTGCAACCCATCCATGCCTGCGCGCCGCTGCGCGGCCTCGTATGCAGCTCGCCGTTCGGCTTCGCTGTCGTCGCTCTCGGCGTCAGACCCGTCCTCGGCGGCCTGGATCAGATCTGCCATCTCCTTCCTGTGGCGCCGCGCCGCGTCTCTCTCGGCCTTCTTGCCGAGCGCCAATCCCCCATCAGAGACAAACTCGTCATACCCTTCGCCCAGGTCTTCGTCGTCGGCTATCAACCGGGAATCCTTCTTTTTCTTGGGGAAGTCTATTGTCACCCGCCCGCTCTGGGGCTCCTCGTTGTCGGACCCGTCATCGTCAGACGAGATGAAGATCTGCTTCCTTACCTAATCGCGCGCCGTCGTTGCCTTGCGCTCGCGGGATCTCGACTTTCAGAAAGAACCCTGGGCGGGGGCGCCTTGTGGTTGATTTGCGTGTTTTGTGACGTCTGTAGACTGCACGACCAACGCGCCCTCCAGCTCGGACTGGTCCAGCTCCATCTCATCCTCGTCATGGATTTGTAAAGATGCCAGGTTTTGTGGTGTATTCGGGGTGGAACTCTGCAATTCTTCCAGGTATTCCTTGCTGTATTTCGGGCCCTCTTCCTGGGCGCCGAAGCGCATGGGGAGGCTGCCCGCCAAGTTTTGGAGGGATGCCGATTTGCGAAGCGTGTTGTTTTCGAGTAACCGCTGTCCAAGAGGCTTCTTCGATGTAAACGGCTTTACGACCGCCCCCCCGGTATCATCGTCGGCTTTGTCTGCTGCACCCTCGCCGGGGCCGAACGAGAGGCGGGATGACGCCGGGCGCCGTTTCACTTTTGTCGAGCTCGATCGGCCGAGTGCAGGGCGAATAACGACTGGCGCACTGGACCCATCCTCGTCATCGTTGTCGCCGCCTGTCGTGGACGCTGACCCTCCTTGGCTCTCGCCATCGTTGATGTGGATGCTCTTACGCAGCGCGGAGGATTTGGCGGGCTTGTTACGGCCGAACTTGATGCGCCCTGGGGGCGCCGATTCTGTCGGCAGCGCATCAGCTTGCTCGCTCTTTATAAGGACCGGTAATCAGCAACGGAGAGCGCCTGAGAATTGTCTGGGCAGTGGCAATCAACAACTTACGGTCGCTTTGCGCCTCATCACCAGCGCTGGATGACGCTTTCACGTTATCTCCGTCATCATCAAACGTTTGGATGATGCGCGCTTTCCTTTTCGGCCCGAAGGAGCTCATTATTGCACGCAGAAATTAGGTTTCTCTGTTGGGCTGCAGAAGATTCGCAATGTTGCTGGAAGCTGTAAAGATGGAATTGGAGGCTTTGGAGCGCGAGCGGCCGGCAAGATTGTCTGGCGTCGCTTATCGTGGTTATCAGACCCCACGTGACATCACTAACCTCTGGATTTCCAGGCTCGGGCGCGCCAGAGCATCCACCGACCGCGAGACTATCGCCAACAATTGCCCTCCAACGATAGACGGCATCGCACAACAAGATGGCGCCTGCACAACCAGAACTCAAGAAGGTGCGTTATATTTTCTTCATCAAATAACCACGGTTACAGAAATATTACCGCTACAAATTCTCCAACATCCCCAACCACCCTACTCTCCACACGTTCAGTGCTGACCCGTCGCGCTGCGATAGTACCTCGACAAGCGTCTGTTCGTCCAACTGAACGGCAGCCGCAAGGTCCTTGGCGTCCTCCGTGGATACGATGTACGGCCGCCCCAGAACATTGATGAATGGTAGAAATTGACGGTGTTCAGGTCTTTCTCAACATTGTGCTAGACGACGCCGTCGAAGAGAAGGACAATGGGGAGAAAGTAAAGCTTGGCATGGTGGTCATCCGCGGAAACTCAGTTGTCATGCTGGAGGCCCTCGAGAGGATTGGCGGCGATGATCGGGGCGGTCGCTAAGTTGCTGGTATGATGCATCTTGTCAAACCGGGCTGCTGGGCGGACTACGGCCGGCAACACACACGTCGGCCTACATTTTCCGGGATGGGATACTGAAGGGGTGGGTTCAGGTGCACGGCGTTCATCTCTGCGGTACACGGCGGATCGAGGATACAAGGTCAGCCAGGACAAATTTGGCGGCGAAAGACACCCAGCATACCCGCACGTTATCTATCCTCAGCACGCCACCTTTTCTCGTCATAGCCGTCCATCATGCTACCGCCGTACACTTTCACCCAGCCCCGGATGCCACCGATCATCACCTGTGACTTCAAGTCACCGCCGACCTCGTTGACATAGTCCTGCAACCAAGCAGCGCAACGGGGACCTCGACCAAGGGAAGAGCCTATCGA